AGTGTTTTGCCTGTAAATTCATGCGATCTGGAAGATTACAGTGTCTGTACCTCTTAAGGGATGGCAAAGCTTAGGTTTCGCTGCTAAATAGTTCTTAATGCAGTTAAAATGCTTTCTTCTGTCATGCTGGTGGGAGGGAGAGAGAGAGGGAGAGAGAGAGAGAGCGCACGCTGGCTGGCTTGTGTGGGTGGGTGGGGGGAAACTTTTGCCTTCCTTTCCTCACGTTATAGCCCTCTCCTGCATTCTTAGCCTTCTGTGTTTTTCCTTCCCTCCCCACTTAAAATGTGGTTACAAAGCATGGATCCACATGGATCCTCAGGATCTTTGCATTGGGTCACCCCAAATTCACCATCAGAGCACACAGCATGTCCATGGCTACAGCCTGCCCCCCCAAAATCACACACCCATTGTTGCCTGGGGCTGCAATGGTGCAAAAACGTGGTTACAAAGCATGGATCCACATGGATCCTCAGGATCTTTGCATTGGGTCAGCCAAAATTCACCATCAGAGCACATAGCATGTCCATGGCTACAGCCTGTCCCCCCCCCAAAAAAAAATCACGCACCCACTGTTGCCTGGGGCTGCAATGGTGCAAAAACGTGGTTACAAAGCATGGATCCACATGGATCCTCAGGATCTTTGCATTGGGTCAGCCAAAATTCACCATCAGAGCACATAGCATGTCCATGGCTACAGCCTGTCCCCCCCAAAAAAAATCACGCACCCACTGTTGCCTGGGGCTGCAATGGTGCAAAAACGTGGTTAAAAAGTATGGGTCCACATGGATCCTCAGGATCTTTGCATTGGGTCAGCCAAAATTCACCATCAGAGCACATAGCATGTCCATGGCTACAGCCTGCCCCCCCCCAAAAAAATCACGCACCCACTGTTGCCTGGGGCTGCAATGGTGCAAAAACGTGGTTAAAAAGTATGGGTCCACATGGATCCTCAGGATCTTTGCATTGGGTCAGCCAAAATTCACCATCAGAGCACATAGCATGTCCATGGCTACAGCCTGCCCCCCCAAAAAAATCACGCACCCACTGTTGCCTGGGGCTGCAATGGTGCAAAAACGTGGTTACAAAGCATGGATCCACAGGGATTCTCAGGATTTTTGCATTGGGTCACCCCAAATTCACCATCAGATCACATGTCTGTGGCCACAGCATGAAGCACAAAAATGATACGTCCACTGTTTCATTCAGAATATTTTTTCCCTTGTTTTCCTCCTCTAAAAACGATGTGCGTGTTATGGTCAGGTGCGTGTTATAGAGCGAAAAATACGGTATGTGTTTTTTTAAAGTGTACAGTTATGCAGGATAATGCCTTTGCCAAAAAGACAAAGCCAAATCCATGCATTGCACATCAGATGGCTAAACAGCATATCAGATGGCTGAATCTGTATTGAAGTTTTTGAGCATTTAAACAATGTGAACGCTGGAGCAAGACATGCACACTTCTGCACCACCCCCTTCAGCCAATACAAGTGGATTCTCTCTCCAATGTTTAGTGAAGCCAGGGCAACTTCCGGTCCAGAGTTCCTGAAGAATGCTAAAAGTAGGGGGTGGGGAGGAGCAGAGACAACAGTATACAATGCTGGTGTGCTGCTCTTCATAAATAGAGAAAGAATGCTAGAAAGGTATTGCAGTTGTGCATATTTCCTCAAGGCTCTTTAAGGCCAGAATACAGCACACATAGACAGTTTAGCTGCAACTAGCTCCTATTTCACAACAGATGGAGGCAAACAACACAAAGGCAAAAAGCCTCACTCCAGAAAACTACAAAAAGGCTTCAAGAAGAAATGAAACTTGATGTAAAGCACCGAACACACGTCTGTTCTAACGCATATGGAACAAAAGTCTACATTCTATTTTCTGATCTAGATGATCCCAAAGCTATTTTCTGATCTAGATGATCCCAAAGCTGCAGACCTTCACCAATGGGTAACAACCACTCCATCAATTTCTGGCTTATTTAAGCTCTACTCTCACCCTCAAGGCACAATCATTTCCACAAGCTTCCTCTCTGACTTGTCTAGATTTTATTTCAGTCTCTTCTACTTAACCCTTCTGACCAGCTTTAAAACACACTGGTGAAGGACAGAAAAAGCAGCTCCAGATATGTAATAGAGATTAATCAGCATATTGATGACAGCCAACAGCAAATCTCAGGACTATCTCTCCCAGGAGTTTAACTTACACATTTAAAAGCATTGGTTAAAGAACTAAACAATTGGAGAACACCATGCATGAAGTTCCATTGGGTTGAACCTGTGTCTCCAAATTTCCAGTTTAATTGGACAATAAAACTACCAGAGACCAACCCCCAACACCCAGACCAGAAAGGACAACTCGCCCTTTAGAATAACATGGTCCTCTGTAGAAAAGCTGCTGAGAGGTCCAGTAAGATCAGCAGAAAAGTATTCCTCCTGTAGATATCCAGGAGCAGATAATTCACCAGGGCAACCTATGTATTCTCAAAAGTGCCCCAAAATGAGGTCTGATACCAGACTAAATAGTGGATCTTTTCTCAATTATTTTCAAACACATCTGAAGTCGCTCTACCACCAACTGCTCAAACAACTTCTTTAAAGACTGGACACAGGCCTATAACTGGCTAGATCGTATTTCTTAAGGAACTGGGTTTGCTTTTTTAAAGGAAGGCTAAGTCACTACTACTTCTACAAGAGAGAGAGTCTTACCCTTCTTCAAAGCATAGCTGTCAATCGTCCCTTATTTGGCGGGAAAGTCCCTTATCTCAGCACCGTGTCCTGCTGCTGTCCCTTATTGATGATGTCCCTTAAATTTCCCAGGTTTCAAAGGAAGTAGCTCCTCTCCCTCCCTCCCTGCTGGTCAGGGAGGAGGGAGGCTCCAACTGTGTTGCTTGGCTGCGTTGCTCACCCAATAAGGAGTCTAAGAACGACTGGGGAGTGGAGCTTGAATGCCTTGTGCCGATCAAATTGGCCGCGTTGCCTGGAGACTCGCCTTTGCTCAGCGCTTCCCAACGGAGAGGTGACAGTGGTTTTCCTTGCTGCATCCCCTTTGCCGGGTTGCTGCGCTGTGAGAACCACCGCTTGAGGCTTTGTTTGGCTGCTGGCTGGGCTTTCTGCCTTTGGCTCAGAGGGGCTCAGAAGTCGAACATACCTGTGCTCTGAAAATCCCTTATTTTGGCTGCCGGTCCCTTATTTTCAAATCTGTAAGTTGACAGCTATGCTTCAAAGGGGCATCTAGAATACATGATGATAATTTGCCAGTCCTAGCTGCCCAACTCTCAGTAAGTTGGAGTGGGAACCTTGGACCCTCAAGATGTTGCTGGACTCCAACACCTATCAGCCTCAAGTCAACAAGGTCAGTGGTCAGGGTGATGGATGTTATAGTTCAACAACATCAGGAGAGCCACAGATTCACTCTTCCTGCTGAGCAAGTAACTGTTGTCTTCCATTTTCTGATTATTTCCTTTCAGTGAACACCAGAGCCTATGAGACACCAAGTGAGTGAAAAATCTGAATATTTACAGGAGAGGAGGCTACCTTTCTGTAGTTCCCAGCCATGCACCTCCAGTTGCCACCTCTCCAGAGCAGTTTAACTGAGAAGAGGAAGAGAAGGAAACTTAGGTCTCCCATTTGCTATCCTAGGAAGCTGCAACTTACTGCTGGCTTCCTCCTTGTCCTACACAACTGCAATGGGGCAGAAGTTGGGGGGGGGAATCATGGGAACTGAGATATGGGTCTGGAAAGTACTAGGAGCAGGGCCACACAAATATAAGGTATTCCAACCCTAAAATGTTACCTGAAGTAGCATGCCAGTTACAGCTTTCAGTGAGAGTCAGCCATGATCAAGATGACTCAGAAATATCTCTTATGTATTCAACAGCAGAAGTTGTTAAAAGCTCCTCTATAGATTGCACACAAGGACCCCTAACACTTACTTCTCTTTCCTGGAGGTTTCCAGCATTGCTCAATATTGCTTCTGTTAGCCTCCTGTTTTTCATGCACACCAGAGGCAGCTTCTCTGACAGTTTTCCAGTGACCCGATAAGAGACATCAACAAGCTTCTGTTGGCAAGTAGCCAGATCTTTGAAAGTGTCATATGTGCAGTGACAGCAGCAGTGAGACAGCAAAAGGGGCATGGGCTCAGGTGATGCATACCTGCATTAATCAGCTACAGGACTACCACTTTTTAATCTAGAAAATTATGGACAGTCTAATTACATCAACTAAGGCAAAACTGGGAGTACATGCAACCACATATAAGCAAGTGGTGGGGTTTTTTATTATTAGCCTAAGCACAACTTCAAACTAAGGTTGGGGTTTTTTTTGGCATACAATGTTTGTGTAATTCAAAAACCTTCATGTGCTGCCTTAAGAAGCCCTTCCTCCCAAAACACAAAGATATTTTTCAAACTGATGACACATGGGATTTTGTTCAGACAGACAGTTCTTCCTTCGCTGAAATATGGATAACAAGCATCTACTTATTATGGGCAGAGCTCCAAAATATGAACAACTTAACATGGCCATAGTGCTACCAAATATCTGCAGTATATTGTAGTATTAGAGTGTCCAACCATATATGACAGGTTGGGAACCTGAAGGCCAGGGGCCAAATGAGGCCATCTGGTTCTTGGGGCTTGCAGGGGGCCCTCCACTCATGAGGGAATGCAACCCTTGGGCTGGAAAAAGGACAGCTCTGGTTCTGATCCACTCTTAGCCATAAGCCTTCAGACCAGTCACTATTTTTCTGTCTTGCCTACCTCACAGGGTTGTTGTATGGGTAAAATGGGCAGTGAGATAACATTCCATTTAACCTGGGAGAATTAAGAGGATGGGCTTTAAGGAGCTGAGGCTGCAAATTATTGTATGTGTGAAAACCAAAACTCAGCAGAATGCAAACAAAAATTATCATTGAGTGCTTTGTTCTACTTTATTAACATTTATATTCAGCTGTTGAATAAGCTTCCAAAATAGTGTAAAAGCCATATTAGAATTTTGATTACATACCTGCATGGTTGATCTCTCATTGAAAAGATTAGCTAGTGAAATAATAAAGAGAAAAGGGCGGAAACATTGCACAAATAGAAAGGAACAATGTCCTACATATATGGGGGCGTGATCTTCTTCTAAATGTCAAATGCATTTAGCAATAATTCAAAAGCAAATCAAAAGCAGTAATTTCCAACATAGGTGGAGCCAGTTGCAAAATACTATTGCATCTAGTGCTCTGGTGGACTGGGATAAATATTTTTCTTCTGTGAGCAATCAGAAAGATTAAACTGTTGTGCTGTCTTACACTGTTTTGCATGTACATGTGTGGATGCTCCAAAGTCAACCTTAAATCTAGTTCCTTAAATGTTCCAATGGCTTCAACAAAACATTTTACTCATTCAGTTCCAATTCAATGCAACAGCTAGGTAAGTTTTAAAACTAACTTTCAAAGTAACTGAACTAGGATTCTGACCTAGCTGTTACAGCCCAGATGACCTTGTCTGTCTCTAGCTAGTATGATATTGTGAACAAGAAACCTAATCTATCTCAAAGTACTGTCGACAGAAAAAGCAGAAAATATTGCACACTGCTTTGAATTCTTTAGCGGAAGGATAAAATAAAAATGCAACCTTTAAATGTCAGACTTGCTTCTAATCCCACAAGAGACAGTAAACCTAAGGCTAGGGTTTCACACAGACACCATAAGTCAACGTGGTGAGATTCATGCAGTGGTAATACATACTAAGGTGCCATGTGCAAGACAAAGCCTGGAGATACTGTAAACATGGAGTGGATAAATGTACAACTCTATCTTAACAAGTTACATGTACAGTAAACATTATACAGACTGAATAAATGAACCGTTCAACAAGCAGCGTAAGTCCAATCACAGAACGGCAACCCCGTGCTGCCACAACGGCAAGGGTAGCACTGGAGAATATGAAAAGTTTTTTCAGAGCTGTTTTTCAAAGATTGAACTGGATGAGATGTTGTTCAATGAGTCTTGAGTTGGAAAGACAAAGTCGTGTACATGGATCAATCAGGGGAAGGCAAATTAAAGCCACCACCCTGGTGAGAATAACACAAGTAGGCAAAAGGAGACCTGTTCTCCGGATATATTACAGGTTTCGCTACATGCTTCATCAGTCCGAAAAGCTGCATGATACAAAATAACACTCCAATTACAATGCGTGGTAAACCATAAAAATTAGAAAATATCAGTCTCAAACTGTACCTTACCCAATCTTACAAAATGGTTTGCTCAGGATAAAGAAGGTATTCACAGGCACAGCTAGTGTTCAGACTCATAACAAGCAGTTAAATACAGTACAGGTGTATAGAATTAATCATCACATGGGACTTCCGGGTTGACGCGATCTGGAAATGGCGGATTCCCTCCGAGCTCCGGAGGGAATCGGCTCCACTGAGGATGGGTCTTTGCCGCGCCGGCGACGCGGGGACCCTTAAAACCGCAGGCGCTGAAGCCTGCGGACTGAAGACTCGGCGGGTGCCTTAAGCGCCCCCCCTGATTCGCAAAGAGCCTTTTTAAAGGCTGCGGAGGGGATACGGGGGTGGCGTGGCACTGAGAGTCGATCGCTACCTCGGTGGAGCGAAGCCGCGAGCCATGACCGGAGAGCGTTGACTTCCTTCCTTGAAAATTTGGACTGAAAGAATCACCCGTGAGTAAGACGGATTGGGACTTTTGAAAAACTTTACCTTTAATTGGAGACGACCGGGGGGTGTGCTAAAAGGAAGTCCGCACCCCCCCCTTTGCAGACCATCTAAGCAACGACACAAGAGATAAGCTGGAGAGCCTACCCTTGGTGGGGTGAGTTAAAAAGGACACTAACTTTCAAGATTTTACTAAAGGAAAATTTTGTGCAGGAGAGTGGAGTTTTGGAAACCTTCCTTCTGTTTTAAACAACACCCCCGCCCGGGCTCGGGAACGTCCTGCCTTCGTGCCTGCGTTAGAGCTGCGGAGTTTGACAGCTGTCAAAGCTGCCAAACGGGCGGTTTAAAGTGAGAAATTGCCATTTAAGATTTTTATGGACTAAGACGAGTTATAATTGAGCTGAAACTGTTGGAAACAAAGTAATAATAATCAGTTTAAGGATTGTTGGTGAAAAGGCAAATAAGTAACCAGATTCCCCCTAGGGGGAATTCTGTGAAACTACAATGGATACAATGGCTGTGGAAGGAAAGTTACTAGTGGAAATCGAAAGGATGTTTCAATTGGTGGGAATCTTACAGGAGCAGAGTTTGGCCATGAACAAACAACTTGAGACTATGACCTTGGGAACAGGCAACTCTGCTCTTTGTATTGAGGACCTCAATGAGAAAGAATCCACAGCTGATTGGGAAACAATATCTACAGAGCTGGAAGAGACTAAACAACAAGAAAAAGAAGAAGTAATCCTGGGAAGTAACAACCAAAAGTTGACATCTGTGGAATACAAGCAAGGAGACGCTGGGAACATATTCACCACAAGTCTGCGAGAGATACAGAAGAAGAAGGAGGAGGCCCCAAGACAAAATGGAGTACAGGAATTTAAAATAAAGAAATATGATTGGGGCCTCCGTTTGGACTTAGACTTGGAAGAGATAGACTTTGTGGAAATACTTCAGCAGCCACCTTTGAATCTTCTTGTTGGAAGAGGACATATTTTGATGGTGAAAGAACTTTTCCCAGATCTGACGACTGCTGTAAAGGACTACCAACAGGACAGGCGGAGAGGAACGGAAATAGATTTGAAAGCCTCGGACGTGAGGAACCCAGGCTGAGAACTTCGAATTTGGATTTTTATTGGGAAGGGACAAAAACCGGGGATGGGAGGGAGGGAAGAAGAGACTCTTAAAAACTCTTAAGACTTTTAGGTTTGGTTAAGATGACTCTTAATTAAGATAAAATGAAAATCGATGGAAGAGAACTTAAGTCCAACTTATGAAAACTAATTTTTATTATAAAAAAAAGGAAATAAGATGAACAAGATTGTTAAGAGGAGAAATATCAACTTGCTGACATAATCTTGAAACAGGGATGCATTAGGGGGGGTGGGGGGAAGTCAGGGAACAAGGTTATGAAATGGGGATTTGCTGACTTTATATATGTTTTTGTCTTTGTTTTTTCTTTGTGTATGTTTTGTCTTTATAAAAGCAGAAAACCAAATAAAAATTTTATTAAAAAAAAAAGAATTAATCATCACATGATTACATGGTTAAAGGTACAGCATCACTTTTCTGTTACAACCAAACAACATATTAAACTCATACATAGCATCCTAGATCGAATTCAGTATTCAAACCCTTTGGATATAAGGTTCCTAACTGAAATATTAATTTATACTCCTTTTGTATACTATACTATACTATACTATACTATATACTATATATATACTATACTATACTAATCCAGAATGCGGCGGCTAGACTGGTGACTGGGGGCGGCCGCCGAGACCACATAACACCGGTCTTGAAAGACCTACATTGGCTCCCAGTACGTTTCCGAGCACAATTCAAAGTGCTGGTGCTGACCTTTAAAGCCCTAAACGGCCTCGGCCCAGTATACCTGAAGGAGCGTCTCCACCCCCATCGTTCTGCCCGGACGCGGAGGTCCAGCACCGAGGGCCTTCTGGCAGTTCCCTCATTGCGAGAAGTGAGGTTACAGGGAACCAGGCAGAGGGCCTTCTCGGTAGTGGCGCCCGCCCTGTGGAACGCCCTCCCATCAGATGTCAAAGCGATAAATAACTACCTGACATTCAGAAGGCATCTTAAGGCAGCCCTGTTCAGGGAAGTTTTTAATCTGTGATATTTTACTGTATCTTTGGTTTTTATGGAAGCCGCCCAGAGTGGCTGGGGAAACCCAGTCAGATGGGCGGGGTACAAATAATAAATTATTATTATTATTATTATTATTTTGTAACAAGGCTCTTCGTATATCTATGGTTCTAAAAGGTAGTTTTTTAAAGGTCCACAAGATAAAAAAAAACTCAGATCATTCTCTGTATGGGCTGCTTGCTGGAAATGCTGGACATGCTGAACTAATGGGAAGTCTAAACATAAGATACGTATTTTGGACCTATGTTCAGAAATTCTGGTCTTGCAACAGTTCACAAATTGTTCAACTAAAAACTGTGTATATTGTATCCGCTGCACTTGTGGGCTGTTATGTGAAGGCAGTACCATTCGTGCAATTAGGACAAGATTCGCCTTCCCGTGATTGATCCATGTACACGGCTTTGTGTTTCCAACTCAAGACCCATTGAAGAACATCTCATCCACTTCAATCTTTGAGAAACAGCTCTGAAAAACTTTTTCATATTCTCCAGTGTGCTACCCTCGCCACTGTGGCGGCACGGAGTTGCCGTTCCGTGATTGGACTTACGCTACTTGTAGAACGCTTCATTTATTCAGTCTGTATAACGTTTACTGTACATGTAACTCGTTAAGATAGAGTTGTACATTTATCCACTCCATGTTTACAGTATCTCCAGGCTTTGTCTTGCACATGGCACCTTAGTATGTTTGTTGTTTGAATGGTTATAATTCTATCTCTATTCTAGCTATTATTCTTAGTAAATTTGGTTTATACTTATAAGCCAGTTTGTGGTGTTGTTGTTTTGTTGTATTATTATCATTGTCACCACATTTGATACTTTGTGTATATACTTCAGAAAATTAAACAGGATTTTAAAGCAGACATATTGCTTTAAAGTTCAAAGTAAAAATAACCCTCAAAAAGTTCACCTTTCTACAACTCTTTCAAATGTATTTGCAGGAAATACATTATATTTTAAACTATAAGAGATCTGTCCACAATTCTTTTCTGTTTAAAGAAGACGGCAGAGCTTTTAAGAGCACGGCAAAGTGAGTCATTAGCAAGGAACAGAACAAAACCACATTCACCTACAAACAACCTGAATATGAAGTCATCTCATCACAGAGATGACCTGGCAACAGCTTACTGTGCTCTAACAAAATCCAGGATAGACTGCTGCAATGAATTATACATGGGGCTATCTCTGAAAAGTGTTTGTACTTTCAACAAATTTGGCAGCCAACCTTTTAACCAGCACTGGCTGCTACGAAAACGTTACTCCACTGGTTAAAGATTTGTCAATGGCTTCTGTGTTGTTTCTGAACTCAAGTAAAAGAAATGGTTGCAATATTTATAGTGCTAAACAGCTTGAACCACAGTACGTAAAGACCATCTGCCACATGAACCTGATTTGACAAATTATGTCAGCTTCTGGGGACCCTTCTCTTCAGAAATTAGGGAGATGATGTTAGAGAGATGGCCTTTTATGAAACTCTACATGTTTACTTCTTGCCTTCATTGCTCTCTTTTGGGAGTCAGGGAGAAGTCTGTCCTATTCTCCCGTACTTTTAGGAGTCCTCTTTTTTTACTGCTCTTCTGGTCTAATGAATTTATTGAAATGTATAATTTTTGTTTCATTTCTATTGGGTTTTATCTTCATAAGGGCTTTATTTATGTAAATAAATAGTTAATAGTTTCTTGGGTTGCCTTTGCAAAGCCTGCACACAACTTGGCATAGAAAGAGACTAATCTGGTGATTAAGAAACGGAGGTGTGTAAGGTACATAACTCAAGATTACTTGGGTAAGTGATATGAGCCATCCTTTTGTGGTCGAAATAGAGGTTGTATCCCAATGTCTCAGGTTCACGAACTGCTGTGGACTTGAATTCTAGCAGTGGTATGATGGACCGAATAATCATTTTGTCGGCACTTAAGATGTAAGTGGGAGGTGCATTTGAGGCACTAAAAGTGATTCTCCACCCACTGCCAAAAAGCATCAATTCCAGGGAAGAAAGAAGCACATAGCAACATTCCACAACACCCTGTTAGCAGTTAATAATTTCATTGTTTTATTCCACTGTATGCAAACCACTCTGGGAGCCCTTTTTTGGCTGAAGATTGGGTTAAATGCTATAAATAAATAAATAAATAAATAAATAAATAAATAAATAATAAATAAAGTAACATCAGATGAATGGGAGAACTGTAAGGAGGTTATTTCAACAGGCATCCCCCCTCCTCCAATGCATCACAGAACTTTGACACTTACTTTTTTAAATGAAGGTGTAGCTACTGAGCCAAACAGCTTCTGCACAGTGTAGGGAAAGATGGCATGAGCCTTCTCCGCCTCAAGGACTTGTTCTTCTAGGAAAGAGACATGGTGTCCTGCCATTTTCACAAATGCCTAGAAATACCAGAATAATAATAATAATAATTTATTTATTTATTTATACCCCACCCATCTGGCTGGGTTTCCCCAGCCACTCTGGGCGGCTTCCAGCAAAATATTAAAATACAATGGTCTGTTAAACATTAAAAGCTTCCCTAAACAGAAATAAAGCTAAACAGTCTCTTTTTCAACTTGGTTTCAGTGCTGCCCCAGTTTTATATCGCAGCTTTAAGAACATCTCTCCAGGGTCCCTACTTCCTCCAATAACTCAGACTAGTTTTTTGTGAGCAACGGTCATGCTAAATCAAGGCATGACATGTGAAAAGAAGAGGGTTGTACCAATTCTCCTCCTAGTCCAAGCACAATTACTATGTATAAAACAGAAAATAATATTTAGAATTTATTGGACTCCACTACATCTGAAGCAGGGCAAAGGCTAATAGAGTTCTGCCAAGAGAACAAGCTGGTCATCACAAACACTCTTTTCCAACAACACAAGAGACGACTCTACACATGGACATCACCAGATGGGCAGCATCGAAATCAGATTATATTCTCTGCAGCCAAAGATGGAGAAGCTCTATACAGTCAGCAAAAACAAGACCTGGAGCTGACCGTGGCTCAGATCATCAGCTTCTTATAGCAAAATTCAAGCTTAAACTGAAGAAAGTAGGAAAAACCACTGGGCCGGTAAGATACAATCTAAGTCAAATCCCTTATGAATACACAGTGGAAGTGAGGAACAGGTTTAAGGATTTAGATTTGGTGGACAGAGTGCCTGAAGAACTATGGATGGAGGCTCGTAACATTATACAAGAGGCAGCAACTAAAACCATCCCAATGAAAAGGAAATGCAAGAAAGCAAAGTGGCTGTCCAACGAGGCCTTACAAATAGCGGGGGAGAGAAGGCAAGCAAAATGTGAGGGAGATAGTGAAAGATACAGGAAATTGAATGCAGATTTCCAAAAAATAGCAAGGAGAGACAAGAAGGCCTTCTTAAACAAGCAATGCAAAGAAATAGAGGAAAACAATAGAATGGGAAAAACCAGAGATCTGTTCAAGAAAATTGGAGATATGAAAGGAACATTTTGTACAAACATTTCCATAATAAAAGACAAAAGTGGAAAGGACCTAACAGAAGCAGAAGACATCAAGAAGAGGTGGCAAGAATACACAGAGGAACTATACCAGAAAGAAATGGATGTCTCGTATACCCCAGGTAGTGTGGTTGCTGACCCTGAGCCAGACATCATGGAGAGTGAAGTCAAATGGGCCCTAGAAAGGATTGCTAATAACAAGACCAGTGGAAGTGATGATATTCCAGCTGAACTATTTACAATTTTAAAAGATGATGCTGTCAAGGTGCTACACTCAATATGCCAGCAAATTTGGAAAGCTCAGCAGTGGCCAGAGGACTGGAGAAGATCAGTCTACATCCCAATCCCAAAGTAGGGAAGTGCCAAAGAATGCTCCAACTACCGCACAATTGCACTCATTTCACACGCTAGCAAGATTATGCTTAAAATTCTACAAGGAAGGCTTAAGCAGTATGTGGACCGAGAACTCCCAGAAGTGCAAGCTGGATTTAGAAGAGGCAGAGGAACCAGAGACCAAATTGCAAACATGCACTGGATTATGGAGAAAGCTAGAGAGTTCAAGAAAGACATCTACTTCTGCTTCATTGACTATGCAAAAGCCTTTGACTGTGTTGACCACAGCAAACTATGGCAAGTTCTTAAAGAAATGGGAGTGCCTGATCACCTCATCTGTCTCCTGAGAAATCTTTATGTGGGACAAGAAGCTACAGTCAGAACTGGATATGGAACAACTGATTGGTTCAAAATTGGGAAAGGGGTACGGCAAGGCTGTATATTGTCCCCCTGCTTATTTAACTTATATGCAGAATTCATCATGCGAAAGACTGGGCTGGATGAATCCCAAGTCGGAATTAAGATTGCCGGAAGAAATATCAACAACCTCAGATATGCAGATGACACAACCTTGATGGCAGAAAGTGAGGAGGAATTAAAGAACCTTTTAATGAGGGTGAAAGAGGAGAGCGCAAAATATGGTCTGAAGCTCAACATCAAAAAAACGAAGATCATGGCCACTGGGCCCATCACCTCCTGGGGGAAGAAATGGAGGCAGTGAGAGATTTTACTTTCTTGGGCTCCATGATCACTGCAGATGGTGACAGCAGTCACGAAATTAAAAGACGCCTGCTCCTTGGGAGATGGCAAACCTAGACAGAATCATTAAAAGCAGAGATATCACCTTACCAGCAAAGGTCCGTATAGTTAAAGCCATGGTTTTCCCAGTAGTGATGTATGGAAGTGAGAGCTGGACCATAAAGAAGGCTGATCGCCGAAGAATTGATGCTTTTGAATTATGGTGCTGGAGGAGACTCTTGAGAGTCCCATGGACTGCAAGAAGATCAAACCTATCCATTCTTAAGGAAATCAGCCCTGAGTGCTCACTGGAAGGACAGATCGTGAAGCTGAGGCTTCAATACTTTGGCCACCTCATGAGAAGAGAAGACTCCCTGGAAAAGACCCTGATGCTGGGAAAAATGGAGGGCACAAGGAGAAGGGGACGACAGAGGACAAGATGGTTGGACAGTGTTCTCGAAGCTACAAACACAAGTCTGACCAAACTGCGGGAGGCAGTGGAAGATAGGAGTGCCTGGCATGCTCTGGTCCATGGGGTCACAAAGAGTTGGACACGGCTAAACGACTAAACAACAACAACATCTGTACAGAAAAGGATTGTCAAAAACAGCATTTTCTTGGAGATGTAATAAGGATAATGCTTCTTTAAAATACATGTTTTTACAATGTCCTATACTTACTAGGTTTTGGGAGAAAGTAGTGAATTATGTAAACAGGAGTGTATGAAAAAAGCTAAAATGTTCAGAGGATAATATTATTTTGAACTACATACCTACTATATGGAATTTGACAACTGGACATCAATAAAAATAAAAATATCTTACAGCATATCTAAAAGCATAATAAAAACACCAAGCATTAAAAACCTCCTGATTCTCCTTGACATCTGATGGGGGGGGGGCGTTTCACAGCGAGGGTGCCACTACTGCAAAGGCCCTCTGTCTGGCTCCAAGTAACTTCGCTTCTCACAGTGAGGGAACCAGAAGACGACCCTTGGAGGAGGACCTCAGTGTGCGGGCTGAGCAATTAATGAATTCATCAATGAATTCCCTGTGCCCTTACTATGGCCCAAAGACTGATATTGCTGCACTAGAAAGATAAATGTGCAGATCAAAGGACTGAAGATCTGACTACACTTGCCACCTATGAGTGGATTGCTTACAGATGTAGACTTTTGCATGGGCACTTTCAAATGCTTTAATAAACTATGATAAGAAATGCAAATAGGTTCCTTCAACTATCATACACATAAATAATGCTAACTTTCCAAGCTCAATTGTGCTAGGAAGAATTTCCATCAGTGCACACAAGAGGTTGGGTTTGAAATTTAAGAATTTACAGTCCTGATAACACAAAGACTTCTGAGTCACTTAAAGTGATATTAAACAATGCCATATGTATATTGCCATGTTTTGCTGCAGAAGCAGACTTCCTCACAGCCATTACAAGAGTGTGGCTTGTTAAAAAGAGAACATAATTCTGTTAAGTCACACAACCTTCCCTCACATAAACATCCGGCATTCACAACACACATGCACTGTGGAAGAGAGAAGCAGGCAGATTTGCTACCTAATAGAGTAAAAGAAGACGTATGAATGTTTGTGTGTATTCATTTATATTCACACACACAATCCTCATAATACATACATGCACACATTCCCATCTCTCAATGAAACCATTCACATGCAACTACAGTGGTAACTCGGGTTAAGTACTTAATTCGTTCCGGAGGTCCGTTCTTAACCTGAAACCATTCTTAACCTGAAGCACAAGTTTAGTTAATGGGGCCTCCTGCTGCTGCCGCGCCGCAGGAGCACGATTACTGTTCTCATCCTGAATCAAAGTTCTTAACCCAAGGTACTATTTCTGGGTTAGCGGAGTCTGTAACCTGAAGCGTATGTAACCTGAGGTACCACTGTATCACATACATAGAACATTCACATTTTCAGTCTATCAGTTGACTTCAGGATTGGTTCAGCAGGGAAGGCATCAGGTAGCACAAATTAACTGTACACTCCTCAAAGTGCCCTTAGGCCCTGTATGTAAATTCTAACACTTCTGAGTAGTTAGAATATTTATAAATGTCCCATGGATGAATCAATGGCCTAAGAGGTCTCATTTCAATCTACTGAACCCAGAGTTCTTATAGCCAATAGCTATGAAGATTTCAAAGACTGCAGATTGTATTTACCTGAGTTTTTATTACCTGGCTTGTTTTTTTTTGGGGGGGGGGAGGATGACAAAAGCATTATATTACTGCAACTCTGCACGTTCTAGGCTTTAGTTTGATGCTTCACTGACCTCTTCCCAGCATTCAAAAAACACGCAACAGGAATTAAAAGCTTCATCGTATCAGTCCTGCAGAGAGCTGAATAATGTTTTCATGTTTCTAGACATCAGCACCAGATTTCTAGGCTCACTTTTAAATCTTCAGCACAAACGCAGAAAAGAACTTTCGCATGCATAATCTTCGGGACAATTACTTGGTGTGATAACAAACCTCTAGCTTATCCACTTTGGTATAGATGCTGTTCATTTCTATCACCTTGGCTTTAATTAGTGGAATTGCCTCATCCAAGAGTTGGGATGTATTGCTTCTAATCTGTATAGACAAAGGGGAAAAAATCTGTATCAGAAAGCAGTAACAATAAATACCAGACATATTTCACTCACTATTTAGAAACTGAAGTACTATTACTGCGTTTTACTTATTATATCAGTACTGTGCACTTTCCTTAAGAAAGTCAGCTTATACGTATAAATCTCCTGATGGCCTCCCATTCAGTCCACATCTACATATCCTCAATGATGCTACAGTACCAAGTGCTCCGTTATGAATTGAGAACCATGAAAATATTCTCCAGATGTTGCTGCACTACATCTCCTGTTACCTGATGGGAGTACAACAACGTCGGGAGGACCACTGGTTCCCTACCTTTGCTTTTGAATCTGGGCACATGCATTTGCAACAAAAAACACATGTTTTCACACAACAATATAGCTTTTTGGCTTTCCGTTCACCCTTGTAGGAGAATGAAAGCCATGTGTATCAAGTGACCATTGGGCATTCTCTAACTGACAATTAGTTGCCTTCAAAGCTATCCAGTGAAGACTCTGCATAATGTTAAGATAACATTCTTTACTATAGCACTGCGGAACCTGAAGCGCTCCAGATGTTGTCAGACTCCAGCTTCCATCCATTCCACCTAGCATGGCCAATGGTCAGGGATAGTGGGTGTTGTAGTCATACAACATCTGGAGGGCCTCCCATTTCCCACTCTGCTTTACACCAACAAAAGATGAAGCAGACAAAGGTGGTATCATCACCATTTGATATCCCTTTGACCCAGGTCTTTGTTGTCCAAACATTTACAAAAGCAACAGAGCACTTCACGGACTAAACAAAGTTATGATGGCATAAACCAAGGATAGGCAAACTAAGGCCCAGGGGCCGGATCCGGCCCAATCACCTTCTAAATCCGGCCCACGGACAGTCCAGGAATCAGCGTGTTTTTACATGAGTAGACTGTGTCCTTTTATTTAAAATGCATTTCTGGGTTATTTGTGGGGCCTGGCTGGTGTTTTTACATGAGTAGAATGTGTGCTTTTATTTAAAATGCATCTCTGGGTTATTTGTGGGGCATAGGAATTCGTTCATTCCCCCCTGCCAAAAATATATATATACAGTGGTACCTCTGGTTAAGTACTTAATTCGTTCCGGAGGTCCGTTCTTAACCTGACACTGTTCTTAACCTGAAGCACCACTTTAGCTAATGGGGCCTCCTGCTGCCGCCACGCCGCCAGAGCCCGATTTCTGTTCTCATCCTGAAGCAAAGTTCTTAACCTGAAGCACTATTTCTGGGTTAGCGGAGTGTGCAACCTGAAGCGTATGTAACCTGAAGCATATGTAACCCGAGGTACCACTGTAGTCCAGCCCCACACAAGGTATGAGGGACAGTGGACTGGCCCCCTGCTGAAAAACTTTGCTGACCCCTGACATCTCTAATCCATGAAATCTTATGCTATAATAAAAATGTTAGTACTTGAGGTGCTTCAGAACTCTGTTGTTTTTGCAGCAGCAAACAAGCATGGGTAACTCTCTGGAAATATTTAAAAATCATTGGTTCAAGGACAAGGAAACGGAGCAGAGGTTAGAAACTGACCCTTAATTTACCAAAGATAAGCAAGCGAAGGTTGCTTCTTAATGTTGAAAGAAGCAACCTCAAAAGGCCTTTTGCAAAGCCAATGTAAGTACATTGAAAAGAAATGTTTGAAATGTAGACAAAACAAGGAGATATTAATCTACAGAAGAACACTAAAGGTAAGCCCTATAAGGTCAAAACAGGCATCTTCCTCCAGATGCAGAAATATATAAGAATCAAAGAATGATAGAACTATACTGTTGGAAGGGACCACGAGGATCATCTAGTTCAGCCCCCTGCAATGCAGAAATCTGTTCCTCAAGAAACATAACACCTTTTTGCCAGAGATTAGCAGGTTGAATTAAGAACCATACCAACAAAGAAACCAACATAGAAATATGCAGCGAGCCCTTATTTACTCCTCACCCTTGCACCCCCTTTGATAAAAAAGAAATTCCATTCTATCCTCCCCTCTTAGATAAAGGGAGAGTGTTGTGAACTCTAATGGGATCTTCTCTTCTCTCCTCTCCTCCCTTCCCCCATGGCAGGTTCTTGAAAAATAACATAATCCGTTTCCCTCCGGGAGTAACCAAAACAAACTGAGCAAGGTAGGTCCTCCTAACTATCCCAACTGGTATTGGGTGGGTGGGTGAGAAGAGAGCAGAGGCTTCTGTGTTTATCAGGGAAACAACCAGTATTTTTGTTTCTTCTTGCCCACATTATTTTTGTCCCACTGATCTGACACAGGATGAGAGAAGGCAGTAAAGTCTTTGTGTGTGCTGGTGTGTGTGTTTGCCTGTGTTGAGACAGAATGACGGTTCTATTTTCCCTTTCCTCTTTTGTGTCTACATATTTCCCGCAGTGAGCCTCAAGCTTGCACACACTGCCCTTCCCAGCCAGCATGGCTGCAACAGGACATTTCCACTTCTGTTTTAGACCAACCAGTTTGCTGTGACATTCACACTCAGGCAAACTGTAGTACAGTGGAACCTCGGGTTATGTACCGTCCTCCTTACGAATGCTTCGGGTAACAAGCTCCGCTAACCCGGAAGTAGATGTCCCCAGTTGCGAACTTTGCCCCAGGATGCGAGCAGAAGTCGTGCGCCAGAGATGCAGCAGCAGCACCTCATGTTAAGAACGGTTTCAGCTTAAGAACGGACCTCCTGAACGAATTAAGTTCATAACCAGAGGTACTACTGTAGTCTTAATTACGGTTGGTGTAAACAAGTCAACTTCAAAAACACAGGACTGGCTCACATGTAACACTAAAAGAGCCTTCACAGATCCAGCGGCCTCCTGACGTTTTGGTCTACAGATCCCAGTTGGTGAACCCTATGCCGAACCATCAGGAGGGAACCAAAAAAAACGAAAGCGAAGATGTAGAGATCCCAAAACATGACTGATGGATGCCAAGATGGACTTAGGTATAAAACAACCTAGTGTGCCATTCTATATCTAAACCCTTCTGCTTCGTAGATTAAACGAAATAAGTCTCACCTGGTTTACTATGTTCAGCAAATCTAGCTTCCCTGGGCTAGAAATCATTACATCAGTAGGCTGTTTTTTAAAACCCTCAAAACATGAGACTTTGCTGATTAGTTCTGTTTCACACACCCTGCTGATCAAGGCTCTCACATATACAAATATGTGAATTTGATAAAAATGTATGGCCGTGTAAAGAAAATCTGATGTCATACATGTCTAATGTGATGGATCTCATTTTATATATTTATATAACCAACACTCTCAGTTCAGCCACATCTTTGCCCAAAGATTGTTTGAAGTTAGTGTCAAGTTGTGGGCAAACATATCAGACGACACAGCGATTATTCAAACAGCTCTTCTTTATTCAGATGCCAGAACAGAACTAAGCTGAGGGGCTCAGTCAGCCTGCTTATATAGAGCTCCAGAACAATGTAACTGTTGCCATTTTCTAAAACTATCCAATCACTGAACGTCACTTTTCGATCCTTCATTTGCATACAAAACTATCCAATCACTGAACGTCACTTTTCGATCCTTCATTTGCATAACTATCTACAGTATCCCCCTGCTGGCCCAGGGTGAGAACTTCAGTACATAACAGTTAGGATTCTCATAAATCATAGGAACCAACAAATTTATGCAAATATATAAAGAATAATTGAGCCCAATAACTGTAACAACGAAACATACCCAGAGAAGCAGGATACTGAAAGCAGTGAAACAAATTAATGTAGAATGTTTTATTGACTCACTAATTAAAACGATGCATCCATTTCTTCATGACAACAAACAGAAGACTATAAATTCCTTGGTTTGTTTTTATGTGCAAAAATTGGAATGAATCTGAAAGATGACATGAAATTTTATTGGATACTATTTCATACACTGCTGAAAGGAAGCTGCCACTACAGGTATTTAGCACTGCCAAGCACAAATTCAGCAGACTAAGCATAATGCTTTGATGCTGCCATAGCAGGTCAATAATTTGTACACAGCCTAATTATTCATACTTCAGATTCTCTAAAAATGTTTTCATGGGTAAAGCAAAGATGAAGCAAGCAAACAAACCCCCATTGAGGAAAGGGATTGGGGGGGGGCAGATCTCAAGGGAGAACTCAGTTTATTGAACCAACTTAAGTGATTTTTGAAAGTTTTAAATAGCTGAAATGCCAATAAAATGAAGTGTACCTCAAAACTCAGTATAGGCAAAAGTTTCAATTAAACTTTCCCTATAGGGAAAATGAAAAAAGAAGTGGCTATTCCTTCAATGGCCCTGAAACTTGCAAAAATATTACAGAGCCACAAACTCTAACCATTTCGTTTGAACAGTTCCAATCTTGAAACTTAAAGCTTGATCAGAATAAACTTTTGGCCACTTGCAGAGTTTAATCAATTTTCCGCATTCATTGCAATATTAAATCAGTAACAGGGGAGTAAGCAACATTGCCCCTGTTCCAGCTGTTATGAGCAACATAACTTTAAAGTCCCAAGCATAGTGGTTTGTGCAATTCCAAGCACTGGTACTTACCTTTAAAGGCAGCCCTGCATGGCTTGGTACCTGGATAATGCTTTCACCTACATCAACCAGCCTGTACACTAAAATCTTCCCCAAAGGCCTTTCTCTGGGGGCTGCCACCACCATTTGAAGCAAATGGGAGAGGGCCCTTTTAGTTGTGGAGAGTGGCTTGCAGAGCCCTCTCCCTATGGAGGTTTGCCCGGCAAGAATGCAGATGTCATTTAGATTCCCAGGCTTTTAACCTCCACTGTAATTTTCTCCTGCTGCAATAGTCAGTGTTGCCTTCTACTGTTTTTGCTTGTTACTGTTAACCAAGATTTTGAAATGAAGGCAGTGTAAAAATGCTGTCTGTATGTGATAGTGTTGAAAACAATGGCAAAACTGCACTGGAAACCAAAAATCAGATTTAAAAAGAAGCAGGATTGTACCACTTTTCCAATTTACTGTACCAACAAAGATAGAGTGGCTTGCCAAATTATTGGAGTACTACAATATATCCAAAACAATGGGAGAAATTGGAAGGATCTCAAAAGAGAAGGCAGACAGGGACTGGAAGGTGTTTAAAAGATACTTGAAAACTATATCGAAAAATCAGAACTCCTATTAGAATAAAGAAGTTTCGTTTCAAATATTGGAATACTAAATAAGATGGATAACAATGTGTAATAGAAAAAGAAGTATGAAATTAGGTTAAAGGTGTGTGAAAGAAAGTAATAGAAGTGGAAAGAAATTGCAATTGAGTAGATTGGAAGTCTAACACAAAGGGCGAGGGGTGGTGGATGGTGATGGGAATTATCTGTGGGATTGAGTGTAGGTATGTTGTATGTATGTAGGTATGTTGTATGAAATGTATGTTTGTATGTGTATTAATGTTGAATTATTTTAACAATAATTTTTTTTAAAAAAAAGAAGCAGGATTGTAATTTACTCACCTATGTAGAGTTGTTTTGTTTCTTCAAATCACACAACTGTTTTCCAACTTTTGTATACATTTAGACTAGTATCACAACCCTATCCATGATTACTCAAAAGTATCCTCCATTCATTTCAGTGAGGCTTACTTCCAGGTAAGTGGGAAATAAGGGTTTTGTGAGCTGCAACTGTCACAGGGAATTTAGAGGTGGCAGAAGCCAGATACAGTGGTACCTCGGGTTAAGTACTTAATTCGTTTTGGAGGTCCGTTCTTAACCTGAAACTGTTCTTAACCTGAAGCACCACTTTAGCTAATGGGGCCTCCTGCTGCCGCCGCGCCACGATTTCTGTTCTCATCCTGAAGCAAGGTTCTTAAACCGAGGTACTATTTCTGGGTTAGCGGAATCTGTAACCTGAAGCGTATGTAACCTGAAGCGTATGTAACCCGAGGTACCACTGTATCAATAGTTAAACAGAAGGCTAACTTACTGTTTCAGCATACAGTGGTACCTCTGGTTACGTACTTAATTTGTTCTGGAGATCCGTTCTTAACCTGAAACCGTTCTTAACCTGAGGTACCACTTTAGCTAATGGGGCCTCCTGCTGCTGCCGGGCCGCCACGCAATTTCTGTTCTCATCCTGAGGTAAAGTTCTTAACCCGATGTACTACTTCCAGGTTAGCGGAGTCTGTAACCCGAAGTGTTTGTAACCCGAGGTACCACTGTACTAATTATGTTACAAAAATATTTGATGTCTTTCTTAGGAAGAGCTGCTGCTGCAGCATTGCTGCTTTGGGTGGGTTCGAGACATGTCATAATTTTCTTCATTTGCACTTGCCTAACTAATTCCTACTAAAAAGGGGCCAAGTTGGGCTGCTTTGACAACATACAGCAATTCCACTTCTCCTAAGCATTTCCAACCGCACTGCATATACTGCAGTGGTGAGGAAAGATGCTGATAGCATTCTTATCAATTGCAGCTTAGCACTATTTTGTTGTTTCAAATGAGTTTGCACCTTGGGGCAACCAGATGACTGCATTATAATCAAAGCTATTATTCAGCCACCCCACCCCAAGTCTTAAACCATCAACTGGGGGGACGCCAATCATTGTGACAGGTCAGCATGGAACCTCCTGAGAAATGCACCTTGCGACCCCACCAAATAATAAGGGCAGCAGTGCTAACAAGCAACTTTTCCCAAAATGACCTTTGGGTACCTGTTGTACTGAATGCCACCAGACTTTAACCTCTCTGGAAATCTAGAAGAGGGAACATACAGAACGGTGTGTGTGTGTGTGATGAACCTGTCAGAGTGCTTAAACAACAAAAGCCAAAGAGGCATGGGGATGATCTAGGTTCCTCGATGTGCGTGTGTGTGTTGTAAGGAGCACATTAAATTTACAAGCGGAGAGCACTAGTCTAGGCCCTTAAATATTAGTGCGCCAGAGTGCCACCTTGTGGCTAAACCATCGCTGTAATAAAAAACCATTTCAGGGAAGGTTGTAATCAAGATGGCTGCCTCGGGAAGAGAGAGAGAGAGAGAGAGAGAGAGAGAGAGAGAGCGTGTTCCCTCCCTCCCGTCACCACAGCTGCCTGCTGCCTTGCCTGAGCTGCCTGCATGGCTTCTGAAACACTCACAAGATGGCCTCCACAGGAGCCAAACAGAGACAACAGTTACAGTGTTCAAGGTCTACAGAGGTGGAGCTAAGTACATACCAGATCAGTCATGCCACAGAACTCATCCAGTCTTATTAACATCTCTTCTATAGACTCCTCTATTTCTTTCACCTGGAAACAAACAAAACAATCTTAAGGAAGTTGCATCTATGAAAGAGCGAGGCGATCGCCTTCCAATAATAGACATTAGCACAGTCTGCATTTCAATAAAGTTCAGCGATGCCATTCAGCTATTAAAAATAAACGCTGGTAATCAAATAAAATAATCATTTGCTATTTAGCAATTAAGTGTCACACACAGGCACGCAGGCACAAAATCAAGGTTTTTCAAGAAATAGGCTACATTTTCAAAACGGATCGCCTCTGAAGTTTCAAGACTGCCCATGGCAATTCTCAAGCATACGATACCTTCAAATTTTGAGTATTTCATGCTTGGACAGTCTGCACACATTATAGTTGGTACATTGCTGAGACATAGGTCTACTGTCCGAGCAAAGATCAATTTTAAAAAATGGAAATCACATTTAAGTTGATGATGCTAACTGTTAAAGAACCCAAATTATTTCTCCATTTTACAGCGATCACTCTTGAGAGCCATTTTAGACAAATACAAATCTTAGTTGAGCTTTTAAACTTGGATGTTCACTTCTTTCAGAGTGGGATTTCCAAGGAAGTATTTCTATTGTATAATTAGCAAAAGCAACAGAAACTCTTGGGATAGCATGTTGTGGAAAGGAAAAGAAGTGAGAGGTGGTTTGGCCACTCGCAACATCTACCTTCTCTCTTTTGTGCTGATGGAAGTTTAGAACTTCTGTGTACTGTATACCTATAGAATGGTGACATTTTCTCTAAATTTGCTGTTTGGAAGACAATTTCAGAGTTAACAGTCTCAGCAGCCAATCATTCACACTCGTAAAAGTTTGACCATTTTAAAAATTGAACAGGTTACTTAGGGTCTTGAAGTGAATACAGTCATACCTCAGGGGTTGAAGTTGCTTCAGTCTGAGCGCTTTCGGGTTGCGCTCCGCGGCGACCCAGAAGTAACGGAACGCGTTACTTCCAGGTTTCGCTGCTCGCGCATGCGCAGATGGTCAACATGACATCACGCGCATGCACAGAAGCAGCGAATCGCGACCCGCGCATGTGCAGACACGGGTTGTGTTTGCTTCAGGATGCGAACGGGGCTCCGGAACGGATCCCGTTCATATCCAGAGGTACCACTGTATAAAGAGAGAATCCTGGTGAAAACTAGTTTTCTCTACCCACCTCTGGATCATCTTAGGACTGGTGTAGACAACCTGGGATACAACCTCAGATTTATAGCCCACTCCACTCAGGGTTGGTAAGTAAATCAAAACGTAATGAAAATAAAGGAAAACCATTAATTTAATTACTTTTTCATAGCATTTCTCATCTTAACCCATAAATAATATGGCCTGAGTCTTAACCATAGTTGACCAAGGCTGGTAGCTTTGTCACAAACTGCTCTCATGCCAGCATAGATACCTTGTCTTAACCATGGCTCATGCTAACTGAGGTTACCGTTCCAAAATCATATTAAGATCCACACTGACTGCCTATTAGCTTCCAAGCCAAGTTCAAAGATTTGCTGCTGACATATCAGGCCCTAAACAAGCTGGGACCAGTTTAGCAAACTTCCTGCCCCAGTACGGACTAAGGGTGGTATCCAACTAACCTGTTCCACCAGTGCAAGGATTTAATACAGAATAAGTGAATTAGGGTTGCCCACTGTTCAAGATCAATACCCTCTTTATAATTTCATATAGCGGTTTTGCCACAGAGATATTACCCCTTGGGATAAAAACACAATAGTTATAGTATGGGGATGAAAAACTATAAGGCTGAAGGGATTTGATGGGGAAAATTTCAGTTCCAAAACGTTGCCACCAATGTGATATTGCAGGCTTGTCTTTAAATGCGTAGGCAACACCTATCATAACACCTTAACCATCTAGTAAACCAATAGCTTTATCTTAAATCAGCGAAACAAAAGTATTCATAGGGAATTCTTTGAAGAAGGCACTTCCTATAATGTCTCTGTGCAAGTATTCAAATAAATATTTTGATTATTTCTATATAGAATTATTTATATCTCACCAAACATTAAAAGAAACCAATATGGGCAGTGAACAATATAAAATGATTAATAAGATTACATCAAGAACTCAATAAATCAGAAGAATAACTCAATTTAACTGGATCACCTCTTAGGGAAAGCATGGGCAAACAAATATGTTTTAAGTAGGCACCTAAATGCCCTGTGGGTTAAATCACAGAGCCTAGGACTTGCCGATCAGAAGGTTGGTGGTTCGAATCCCCGCGAATGGGGTGAGCTCCTGTTGCTCGGTCCCTGCTCCTGCCAACCTAGTAGTTCGAAAGCACGTCAAAGTGCAAATAGATAAATAGGTATCACTCCGATGGGAAGGTAAACGTCATTTCCGTGTGCTGCTCTGGTTCACCAGAAGCGGCTTAGTCATGCTGGCCACATGACCCAGAAGCTGTACGCCAGCTCCCTCAGCCAATAAAGCGAGATGAGCGCTGCAACCCTAGAGTCGGTCACGACTGGACCTAATGGTCAGGGGTCCCTTTACCTTTACCTAAATGCCAATACTGTAGGCACCTGACTACTATTCACTGGGAGCAAATTTCAAACAGCAGGCGACACAACACTAAAGCCATTTTTGTGTGGACTTAAGAGCATGCAGCACTACTTAAGAGCATTTATTTCAAAGATCCAAGTGACCAGACCGAGGCATATAAATCCTGGCGATCCCAATTTGCTTTGGGCTTTATTTGCTAAGAGGAAGACCTTAAGCTTGGCCCGCTAGCTTATTGACAAGTCAGTGCTGCTCTCTCAGCAGTGGTGTTACATGTTGTTGAAAGGACTCCTCCTTGAACAACTTCGCTGCTGCATTCTGCACCAGCTGCAGCTTCCATCCAACTTAAAGGAAAGGTGCATATAGAGTGCATTGCTGTAATTTAATGGTTGCTGACCTTCTCAGGCATATGGGCACATTTCTGAGAATGTATTCTGGATACCAAACATAAAATGGCTACGATACAGTGAGACACAGCACAAAGTAGCTGCCGCATCCAAAGGCGCAGAAAAAGAGGCATGGCAACACAATTGTGCAAATATGGAAAACTTTAATTTAAAAACTGCTTGAAACATGCAAACAGCCAAACACATTCTTAGAATCTCCTTTTCCAAGCATTATTCAGTCTTATCTGTCGCTGGTGAGGTGTTGAAGATTTAAAGCTAGAAGAATATAAATAAAACGTGTTTCAAAATTCTTCTTGATCTCGGTTATTGCATGAATATAAATACATGCACTATCTATCACAAATGAAAAGATTTATTTAATTCCGGCTGGCTAGTAATCATGCTATTTTTATTACTTAAATAGTTTTTATTCCACTCCTCAGCCAGAAAAGGCTCCCTGAGTGGCCATACAGGTCGCTAAAAAGAAAAAGAATAAAACACAGAACCTGACCCCAGTCTTACAATCTGGAAAGGCATGGCACAAAAGGAAAATGAATTGGGAGGGAGGAGGAAATGATCAAATGCATGTAGAAGTTATTCGTTACAAAAGTATGAACACACAGAATAGAAGAGAGTAACTGATGAGAGACAACACACCAGAGTTGTGGTTGAAAAACACTGCCCCAGCCTTGCTGACTGTATAGACTATGCTGCCTTTTACTGGTGACAAGCTTTTGAAAAGCACAGAATGCCACTTCAAGGAAGAATAAAAACAGAAAGAGTTGTAAACCAAGGAACAGACTTACTACTCTCACAAACTGGGACCACACCCATTTTAAATTATTCTGTCATCAATGCAAAGGGAGGGGGTGGAGATCTTGCAAGTACTCAAAATGTGCAAGTACTGTGGGTATGTGGCCTTAGGTTCTCACCTGTCTTTGGCATTGCTCATTTAGTCCCATAAACAAAAACTCATCTCAAACAGAAGAGAATCAGAAAACAACAGCAGCAGGTTGCATTAATGTTTTAGCTTGTGCCTGCAGCTTGTTTGCTAAATTATAATAATATAATATAATATAATATAATATAATATAATATAATATAATATAATATAATATAATATAATATAATATAATATAATATAATATAATAATATAATATACCAACACTATCATACCATTGCTAAAGCCTATACAGGTACTTACTACATTATTTCACCACTTCCTGACATTAAAATAGAGCAAGTATATTTTTGCAAGCATGAGGTTCAACTGCATGGTGTGTCAGTTACTTCTAGTGCTTATAGATTCTATGAAAAAGAACACCAGAATGTATGTATAGGAAACAAAACCATGATTAAACCACAGCAAAATGAATACTGAGGTCCATAGCTCAGTGGTAGAGCCCCCTGCGTTGCAAGCAGAAGGTCACTGCTTCAATCCCGCCATCTCCAGGTAAGACAGGAAAAGACTCCGGCGTAAAATCCTAGAGAGCTGCTGCCAGCCAGTGCAGACAATATTGAGCTAGGCAAACAGTCAAACTCAGTATGAGGCAGCTTCTTATGTTCCTAATGCAAGTTCATAGCGGTTTACCCATAGCAATGTCTAAGTCAAAAGCAAGGAGTATGTGATGTTTCTTTCAGCTTCCATTTTAGCAAAAAGTTTACTGAAAAGCTGGAGCCTTGGTATTTTTAGATTAAAATCCAAGGAGTATAATCTACATCAAATCCATTGCAGGAAACCTATAGCTTCACACCTGGAGAATCTTGAGAGCCAATCAGATAATGAAATTGGTTCCTATGGAAACATGCCGAGTTACATGTTTCAATACTTTTACCATAGGGATTTTGTGTATCCTTCCTGTCTGAGAGTTGGATTTAAAAAAGGAACACTATTAAATCATTAAGGAGACTCTGCACACGTAATATTTTAGCATCCTTGGCATCATTCTGTACGTTGCCTTGAGCAGTATTAGACATGTGACGTTGCAGAAGTCCGTTCAACTTCCAAAACATTTGGAAACCAAAGCGCTGCTTCTGATTGGCTGCAGGAAGCTCCTGTTGGACGTTCGGCTTCCAAAAATAGTTCACAAACCGGAACACTCACTTCCAGGTTTGCGGCGTTCGGGAGCCTAAACTTTCGAGAACTAAGCTGTTCAAAAACCAAGGTACGACTGTATATTAAACAACATTTCAGGGGCAGGACGGAAATTGTACACAATTCAAAAATTAGTAACTATGCACAGTTCTATGCCAAGTGACACATTTCAGTCACGTAAGACCCAAAACTGTAGCACAAAGGGCTTTAGCATATCTATATGTGGCACCACATGAGACTTTTTTTTTTTTTTTTACCAAGATAGATCTGTACACTCTGTAGTTAGTAGTTGTGGTACTGGAATGATATGGATTCACTTGGTCACTTCAGAGTAAAAAAAAGCAGGGCCTAAAGGCACAAGTAAACCAACACAGCTTCAGCTGTACAACTTACATTACTCTTAGCACTGCAGCCACCATGGAATGAACCCTTAAGATACAATGAGAAGGCGGGGGGGGGGCAGCATGGACCCCAACACAGCCTTCATCCTATTCTCTCCCTGGGCCAGTCTGGGCACATTCAACAATACTGCTGCAAATCACGAAAACAGGAAAGGGACGCTGAGCCTGTAGCTCATTCATTCATCTTTCTCCTAGTGACTCTGAAGGTTTGTATTCGTCAAAGTACATTAAACACACAAAACATTTTCAGACATCTGTATGTGGTTATTTAACGTGAATCTGCTAAAATATGTATTAAAAATAACTATTAGGTGACAGACAAATTAACATACCTATTCTGCAGGAATATGAAAGACAAATGAACACACACAAAAACACAATAAACAAACAATGAACATCAGATCCTTTGCAACCTTCAAAACTGATGGATTTCTCTTTCCCCTTCTAATTTTTTTTTTTTTTTTGCTGTATTCTTTTTATTCTTATTCCTTATGTATGGTTTAATAGATCTGGGGTGGCTAAGCTACAGTCCCCCAGACATTGCTGAACTACAACTACTGTCAACTCTGGCCACTGGCCTGTTGCAGTTTGAACCCCTTCAGATATACGGTGCAGATGTGCTCTAGCAGCAGCACCATCTGCAACAGCAATTTGCTGCAGTTGCTCCCCCCAAGGAGGGATTGCTACTGTTGATTCGCCTCTTCTTGCCCCATATCACAGATAAACCAAGGGTAGCACAGTCAACTCCTGGGCACTGCTCTTTGTGGTGTCTGTCCCCACCTAGTTCTCTAACTGTAGCAGATGGAACGCCAACACAGAAAGGAATCAGGGTGTATTACCTGTGACAGTACAAATTTGGTATTTTCTCAACTCCACTGAAAGATACCTCCTGCTCTTGAACTGTTTCTATTCCAAATTGTCATTATAAAACCTGCTATTTAATTTAAATAACTGGTACCTGAGTTTGCTTTTTTCATCTTTCCTCCCTGTCCCTTTTCCTTTTATGTCATGTCTTTAAAACTATTAAGAATAAGAAAAGGGGTCGTCCTGTTTTAAACGACTGGATATAAGCCACTTTGGGAGCCTTCTGGCAAGTTAAATAAAACCTTTTTTTTATAGTGCAACTATACACATGCTGACACAGAAGCTAGTTTGGGTGCATACAGCAGCATACTTTGCACGCAGAAGGTCCAAATTTCCATTCCTGGCATCTATATACATCTTATACTGTACTCTGTATAAGGCAGCTTCTTGTATTACTTCTAGATAAACGGGCACAGCGCTGTAACCTTAGGATATAAAATTAATTTTTATAACATTAACTGACATCTGCAAGCAGATGTGTCTGTGCGTATGGAATTCTTTAGCTTTCCTATGCTTCAACAAACACTGAAGGGAAGGTGGCTAACCATTAGCTTTGGTGGTGTTCATAGCTTTTTTAAAAAAAGAAAATGTGATTATGTTTTACTAAGTAGTTTGTTTTACTGCATTGAGGTTTTCTCTGAATTTCAGCCACCCAGAGAGCCCAGCTTGGTAGAGGAGGTGGGACAGAAATCTTAAATAATAAAGTGGTTTGATTTTAAAAAGATAAAGGCTGCCTTCACCAATCACATGCTCCCAGTTTATTTATCTGCTCTTCTAAGAATAGCAGTGCCAAATAAGTTTGTGCATAGCAGAACTCCTTTGCTTGATAATGCTAACTAACCATTCCTCAATTATTTTCCAGGTTGCATCCATGTATTAAGACAGACCATCAGAAAGCCAACTAGCTCAAGTTAATTAGTTTGGCTCCACACAGAATTGCTTTTACAGCATTAAGACCGCCTTTCTGGACAGCTGCTGTAAGAAGCTGCCTTTGGAACAGGGTTTGTGAGTGGGTTTAAGAGTTATATAAAATGTTGTTGACTGCATTCCTTTATATAAAGATTCTTATTTAAAAAATCAGGAAAAGTTGTCCCATCAAGTGGGAGTTGAGGGTACTTATTTATTTATTTAATAACATCTTATATACTACTTGATTTTTGTAGAAGAAACCTCAAAGCGGCTTACAAAAAAGATAGCACAATAAAATGATCACCTAAAATATTACAACCCTAATTAAAAACATACAGAAAGTTAATACCAGAATAGATTAAAATGAACTAAAACTCATACAAACTTTCTAGATATCTGCGTAGGCTTGTCTAAATAAGAATGTCTTCGGCAGGCACAAAAAAGAATACCGTTGCCGGACAAGGGAAATAATGCTACCTTGCTGTATTTTCTCTATTTGCGCTGGCTGCCAGGAGAACAAGACCCAAATTTGTGCTTCAACTCTGAATGGATCCCCACCTCCACGCCCACCCCTGCTTCCCTTTGTTATGGCTTAGCTTAGAATGATAGAATGGCAGAAGGGCAGAGCTGAAAGGGACCCCAGGGTCATCTAGTCCAACCCCCTGCAATGCAGAAATCGCAACCAAAACCTCCCTGACAGAGGCCTCTGCATAAAAGCCACCAAGGATGGAGAGTCCACCGCCTCTCATGGGAGTCCATCCCAAATGGCTCTTACTGTTAGTTTAGCATTTTATTGTGTGTGTTTGTATCTAAATATATGTGTGAGTATGTACACGTGTACACACACACACACAAACACAATGACAGGATACTAAACTTGGCATCTATCTATGTGTGTGTGTGTGAACGTATACACCCCCCACAGACACGCGTCACCCCCTCGCAGCGTGGCTTTCAAAGTCCCCCCACATCCGCCAGAGACAAACGAATCCAACCCCAACACCCCACAAAAAATATTTTGGCGGGAACCCCACCCCCGCCGCCACGCCCACCTGTCCTTCCCACCACCGTAGCTAAGCAACGCTTCTCTCCTCCCCCCCCCCGCCGCGGGTGACCCCTCAGCCGCGGCCGTTAACCGCCCACGCACCTCCTCGCGCCCCTCTCGCCCCGCCTCAGGGGCCAGGTAGAGGGCGAACTGCCGAGCCTCGCGCTCCTCTTCTTCCGCCGCCGCCTCCTCCGCCCTCAGCTGGGGCTCCCCGTGGCCGCCTCCCGCCTCAGCTGAGGGGGACAAGGTCGTCGACGAGGCCGAGGCTTCCCCCCGCTCCGAGGCCGCCGCGGCGCTCATGGCGGTCGCCGGCAGTCGACTGGGCCCGGAGGCCGCGGGTAACGGCTTCTCCGGCCCCGGCTCGGGAACCCCGCCGCAGCCAAGCGCCGTCGGCCGGATCCGAAGCGGCTCCCTTTTTCCTGGGGCCGCGGGGCGAGCTCGGGGCGCCCCCTGGCGGCGGCGGCGCGGAACTGTTGCTCCTCCCGCCCAAAGGGGGAGAGCGGCGGCGGCGGCGCCCCTCATCGCCCTCGATTTTGCCTCTTCCCCCTCGCAGGGGTGGGGAGCCTGTCTCTCTCCAGATGCCGTTGGAAGACGGCTCCTGTCGGGGCCAGGGTGAAGCAGCCACCTCGGGCGGAGGAAGCACAGGTTCGCAGACTCGGAAGGGACACCGAGGGTCATCTAGTCCAACCCCCTGCAATGCAAGAATCTTTTGGCCAACGTTGGGCTCGAACCCGCGGCCCTGAGATTAAGAGTCTTACGCTCTACCCAACTGAGCTGACCCAAGGCAGCGCCTGGCAGGGAACTGTCCACACAGATATCTTGCGCCACCAGCACACAAGCTATGGGGGTGAGGGATGCTGGGGCAGGGCAGCACTCCCTGTTTTGCATCAAGCAGTAATTACCTAACCCATGCAATAACCAATAGCTCATCATATGTCTTTTTGGAAAGATCATTTGACAAAATTAGACCATTGCAGTTGAGCAGAGTCAGAATGCACTGCCTTCCTTCTTCCCTATAAAAGGACCCCTGACCATTAGGTCCAGTTGTGACAGACTCTGGGGTTGCGGCGCTCATCTCGCTTTATTGGCCGAGGGAGCCAGCGTACAGTTTCTGGGTCGTGGCTAGCATGACTAAGCCGCTTCTGGCAAACCAGAGCAGCACATGGGAACATTGTTTACCTTCCTGCCAGAGTGGTACCTATTTATCTACTTGCACTTTGACGTACTTTCGAACTGCTAGATTGGCAGGAAGCAGAGACCGAGCAATAGGAGCTCACCCCATCGTGGGATTCGAACCGCCGACCTTCTGATCGGCAAGTCCTAGGCTCTGGTTTAGCCCATAGTGCCACCCGCGTCCCTCCTTCTTTATATCATTGCACAAATGTCTGGCTGTTGACCAATTACAATGCAATCTTTAAATGCGTGGCTATTCAGGCATAAGCTCTGCCAAGTTTGAAGGGACTTCCAGGGAAGTTTACTTAGGTTGTTTGGTGTTATGTTGTAGAGACTGCCTATTTTGGTGAGAACAAAAATGAACATTTTTTGAAATACTTCACATATTTTCTGTGGGTAAAGTAACTGCACACCTGATTATTTGCTCCTTTGCTCATTTAATTGTTGCAGTTGTACACTACCTTTCTGCCAAGACACCTTGGGGTGGTTAAGAATTTAAAATATTAAAAAAAATAATGAAAACTTTTTCAGGTGATTGAAGATACTTTCAGGAGTTTATTATGGGATGGGTTTCCTAGCCCAGGTTATATTTCCTGCTTCCCACCCCATTCTGTTTGTTCTAGAGTTTTTGGATTTGTTTGTTTAATCCGACAGCTTTTTGTTGTGTTCCTTTGGTAGCTGCAAGACAGACAAGAACACAGCAGGTGGAGCTTTCCCTTCTGCATTATACAGTGATGGGGAAGCTGTAACTGCTGTAGAGAAGAATAAGAATGCAGCCTTTACATGCAACATGATGCTTTGCATGCTTGCTCAGAGATTGCCCACGGAGTTCAGTGAAACGTACTTCCAAATATTTGGAAACAGGATTACAACCTAAATGATATGTGTCAGTATTTAAAGGCAGAAGCTTATATGCACTGAAACAGTAGACACAACCTGAACAACAGCAAACACAACTGGCCAGATGCAAAAATGTCCCTTTATGCAGATAGCAGACACTGAAAGTCTTAAGGAGCATGAAGGTATTCCCAGAAAATTTTTTTACACACTGCAACATCAACCATGCTTGCCCTAGTCTAGGACCAGCAGCAAGATTCTTTACATAATGGATGTGGGTGGAGACTTGTTCATAGAACAGGCATAATTTACACTGACCTGTCACCAAAAGATATTGCATACAATTGAAGCAATAGACATTAAGACTTAGCCCCACTCATTTTATAAATTTATTGCTGACCCGTTCAGATAGTGAATATGTATATGCCTCTGTCTGGACATACAGTGATATGTATATTATTTTAGCAAAATAAATAAATACTTTAAAAAGATTGAGATGTGCCTCTAGATTTGTCTGCTGGCTTTATATATTAGGCAGAGTTTTGTAGCCTTTGGTGGAACCTGAGATTATTACTGCACTTTCACCTTTTGTTCCCCCCCCCCCCTTAGTTATGCCCTAACCTAATTAAATCCGTTTAACACAGTTTCATCTTCAGTTATTACAGGCTGAAGATTTTCACAGTGCACAGCAACATTATTTTCTCTGTCTGTTGTTGTATTCTATTTTTCATCCTACCTGATGAAGAATGTTGGTCAACTGTAATTTTTGCCCATTTCTTTGTAACATTTTTGTTGGACCTGTTAAAGGTATAAAAGTAACCTACTGTTACTTTTTGGATTCCGCCCTCCGCTCCAAATGGACCAACATGGCAGCCTGCTATGTTATAGCTTTAGGTTGTTGCACCTTTCCTGGAATGTGAATTCATTTTCTGAAAGGGCAATTTCTTTCTCTCAATTGTTTGACTGATGTTTGAAAGCAAAGATTACTGGCAATGTTCACTCATGTCAGTAACATGCTCACCATCTGCAAGAGGAGGAAGATCTGGCTGTTTCCTTATAGCTTGGCCTAACAAATTACTTACTGGGTATTAAGAAATAATTGGGCATCACAAGGGAGACATCTTATGATAAGATTTAAACTGCTTTACTTCAAAGTGATTACATTCTCAGGACTTAACCAAGTTGGCACGTTACCTCGCAGAACCTCTTCAAAATGAGGGGGTACACAGAGTAACTTTCTCATAATCTATTATAGAATTCCCTAAAGTTTGACATTGCCAACGTATTTTCACTGGCAGGCAAGATTTGTTTTAAAAAAGAGCCATCTAATCTTAAATACATGGGGTGGGTTTTTTTAAAAAAAGAGAATCAAGGCTTAAATTTCTAATTAGCCCCTTACTCAAGTCACTGGAGGCTAAAATTTCTTAATTATCAGAACAGTTGAACAATGGAACCAATTACCTGGGGGAGGGTGTCTCCCATGCTGGGATTCTTCGATCTTTGTATCCAATTTCCTACGATTTTCCAACTCCAAAGACTACCCATAGTGGGTTCATGTAAGCCTCAGCCTCTCCTTATTTCTCCTGGGGAGTTAGGGGAGGAAAAACAGTAACCCATAAGGAAGAAAAGAGAATCTTGTTTCTCTTCCACATTAAATGAAATATTCATTTCATATTCCCACTAGTATATGTTGATATTTCTCTCGTTTCTCAGCGATGCCATTCTGGCTGCAATGGAATTGCCCACCAACCGAGTTTGCTAATAAGAAGAGTAATATTGTGGTAAATATAAAAAATCTAGCAAATACTTCATCTGCATTTTTAGTAATCCTTAAGATGTTAGGTGGCTAATGGAAAATGTATAAAAAAATACACAGAATTTACTGGTATTGGTAATTTTGAAACTAAGGTGGAGTTCCTCAGTAAGTGATGAAATTCCTCCCCATTTTCACCATTTATTGGTGAAGGCAGTGGCAGATGCTGGCACCTCAAATTTCAGGGGCACCCTGTGCGACACCAAAATCTGCTCCAACAACTTGATACCAAGTCTGAAGAGCACCAGCCTAAAGCACTTGAAATAAATCTCCTGGGCAGATGAGCATTGGCATACCTGTTGAAATAACATATTGGGCATTTTCTTGTGGACATGCAATGCCAACCATCTTTTGTTTGTCACTGTGGAAACAGATCTACCCTCACTGTATTATTGAACTATCCCTCCATTTCCTGATTCTCTGGAGCTACACATGTAACTTGATCCCCTCCTATCTGTACTCATCAGGCTAGACTTTGCACCCATTTCTTCATGCAATCTCTCTCTTTACCACCAGATGGCAACATTTTGGTGGCTACTATTGATGACAAAAATCACATTCAGCAGCCATACAAATTGAACCAATTAATACTTTTATAAGTAGTATGGAGGCATGGCAAAAAAAAAAAGTATGCAGGGCCATCAAATTGGCATGCATGCAATTAAACGGCTGGGTTTCCCTGTATTAAGCACAAGTACATAGGAATCCATAGGAAGTTGCCTTATTATATTAAGGCAGACCATTGGTCCATTTTGCTCAGCATTGCCCACTTTCTGCACATACTGGCAGTGGCTTTCCAAGGTTGCAGACAGGACTCTTTCCCCCAGCCCTACCTGGAGATGTCAGGGATTTAATCAGGGACCTACCACTGAACTACATGTACTTCCCTAAAGGATCCTCTCTCTTAATCACCACTTCCACTTTAATGCTGGAAAATAAGGCCATTTGAGACAACCAATGAGTTGGAGGCAACCAATGGAAGAAGTGACACACAAAGTAGCAAAATTCACATTAAGGTTAGCAAAATTCACATTAAGGATAATAATGAGAATCAATTACAGATAGGTAGCCGTGTTGGTCTGCCATAGTCAAAACAAAAAAAAAATCCTTCCAGTAGCACCTTAAAGACCAACTAAGTTAGTTCTTGGTATGAGCTTTCGTGTGCATGCACACTTCTTCAGAGGTGTGAAGAAGTGTGCATGCACACGAAAGCTCATACCAAGAACTAACTTAGTTGGTCTTTAAGGTGCCAATGAGAATCAATGCCAATGAGAATCAAGCAAATTATGTTGTATTGCATAATTTACACAGGTTGCTTTCATTGTCTCAGTATTTGGCTTTATATTACGCACAATTCTGTTTTAATTCTATGCTGGGTGGGGATATTGCTGGCCTCAGTTATGGTTGGATGGCTAGTATTCTGAATGAGATTTCACCGTTTGTTGACTTCAAGCAGCTTTCAAGGTTTGTTTGGGTGCAAACATGAAATACGGCAAATGCAAAATACCGTGGGGGCACATTCTGTCTAACTAGCTCCAATCACAACCCTTCCTTGCAATTTTATTCGCATCTTTCATAAATAATGTGTTCCCAGACATTAATGCTTCCTGCAGGCCATGGCAAGTTTGCCAACCTAATTGGCATTACAATTTAAATGACAACTGAATGTGGGAGTTACTCCACCCTGGCTAATTTATTTTTCTCTAGGGAACAG